TTTTTTTTACTTCTTCATTTTATATGTGGATATCAAACAAGGTATTTTAAGAATTGTCTGATCAGCCTTCAAGAAAATAAATGCGGTTTATTTTCTCTGAACACCCCCAAAGCCGCAAAGTATTATTAGTATGGGAAAGTAGAGAATAGAGAAAAACCATTGTCAAAGGGGGGGGGGGACACAAATTCCTGCATCCCCCCAAGTAGTTTAGAACATGAGTTGCATTTGGTAGTTCGATGGAATAACTTGATAATCTATGGCTGAGAAATGTTACCTGTAAGATTCATTGGACAAAGCATGTTTGGCGGTAGACTACCAAGACATCGTTCCGTGCCGTAGAACAGAAATACTGAACTTTCGTGGAGCAGGCGTTGAAACTCACCAATGCTGGAGGAAAAGAGCATACCATATGCATTAACCTACAGCTTTGAATGTCTACTTTGTATCTAGTCTAGCACCGTTGATATTGAGGAAACATTTGTCATCTTTCCCCGCTTAGAGATTAAGGCGGGTTTCCTACGGTCGTCCTTCGTTTTCCGTAAATAGCAGAAATGACCAAGCTTTCATCGTTTCCCTGTATTTCACTTTATCTTTTACGAATTTTTAAAAGCCTTCTCACAGAAGACAAGCATTCTTTTATTTATCTACCACTTGGAATTTTTTGCGATAATTTTTTTATTAATTTCAATGATCTTTTTAGCAGTCAACGTTTCACGTTTGCCGTAACTGAGATTCTAGAATTCTCCAAGGGCGGATCCAGCCAAAATTTTAGGGGTAGGGGCTAATCGAGTTAGGGGGGGGGGGGGGCTAATTGAGTTTCTTCCGTCAACACAACGGAAAACAATAAAAAAGCATCTTATTCTTCAGTTTTGTTTTGTTTTTGTTTTTTTTTCCCTGCTGCAGCCCCCCTTGGCCCACCCCCCTGGATCCGCCCTTGTTCTCTACTGTGAGCTGACTGTTACATGTCGTAAATACAAGATACAGCAGCAGCGAGGGTGTAGAGCGTAGTAGGCTTATAAATCAGCTCCCCATAGAAGATATGGAGGTAGATTATTTCCCACTTATATTTGCCTGTAGATATACGCAGTAAAGTTTAGTTTATACCTAGGTAGATGATCACTTCCCATGGCACCAGTCCATTTTCCTGAGAAAGTCTTGTGATGTGTTATGATATCTGTCATCACTTTGACAGGGCTGTCTTCTATAGAACAAAATACACGTTTATTGTAGAGAGATCTGTTATGTGTAACAGGGTTCGTGCTTAGGTAACCTCTTAAAATTCAAGGACTATTCAAGAAGTATACAAGGACAAATGAATTTTCAAGGAGTATGTTCCGCTAACTATGCCAAGGTTTTACACGGTGGTTGGACTTTCATGGCCGACTTTCAGATTTTCAAATCTTTCTGACTAGATCTAAATTCAAGGAGTTTTCAATGAAGGAGTTTAAGGAGTAGCACGAACCCTGGCGTAATTCCTTTTAACTCATTTTGTTTCGCGCAAAAAGGCAAATTCGATTGAACCTCTCGCGATGATTGCCACAACAGGAATAGTGTCCTCCGCAAGCACCCCTCGTTTTTCCTCTTATTTTGCATCCTCTAGTCGGGAATCGGCTTGGGGTCCCTATGTAATGTAGTGCAATTGATGAGAGACTAGGGACGATCTATATTCCTTTCACGTCATGCTTTTTGTTAAAATCTACACAACACAGGACTTCCAAATAGGGGAAACCGATAGCTGCATAAAAAACGCACAAAGATTTAAAATAGCATGACACAACAGCGTCTTGACCTTCACCTTTTTTTAATAAACTACCGTTTGTTAAATGACTTCAGGGGGCCGGGGTCACCTTATCAGTTTTCAAGTTAACAAAGGCTTACCTTCATCACTGCACTCATTATGAAGGTCCACGATATCTAAACGAGTTATGGAAAACAAAGTACCAAAATGTGCAATAGAAAATAATAATTATTATTATATAGATCAAACACACTAGGCAATAAAAATATGGTTTGGATACATCGTAGATTATTTACATCCACCACTGGGCCATCTTTTGGTACACCAGCCGCAGCATCTTTCGTTCCGCCCTATAACCCACAACATAAGGTTTGAATTTAAGGAAATTTATCTGATACGGTAAACATGCGTGGTCACAAACCAACCAAAGTACGAATGTACGAAGGCCTAGGTACAAGTCAGTTGGAACTTTTGGCTGAAACTTGTGTGCAACGGCGCTACGAGAAAACTAATTACACCCTGCAACGCCCCCAGCTTTGTAAAACTTTCGTTTCCAACAAGTTTCAGGACGAAATTGCGTCGTGCAACACCACTCTTGAAACTCTCTTCGAGCGAGCTGGCGACATCAACCTGGCGGATGATAGTGGTTTCACAAAAATATTGCAGCGTGTAACAACCCCTCCCCCCCCCCCCCCCATGAATCTTTTTTCGCAACGGCTTTGCACACAAGTTTCAGCTAGAAGTTTCAAGGTGTAACAAGGAATTAAAGAAAGGGAAAGCAGCAGCTTTCAGACTAAGGGAGCGACTGAGAAAACTACCGAAAAACATATGAACGAAAACAAACAACAAACATACGAGAAAAGAAAAGAGAAACGAAAAATCGAGCAAACAAATAAGGAGCAAACTTATGAGAAAAGTATGAGAAAAGAAAGACTTACAAACAAGATTGAGCAGATGAAAGGAAGGAGTGCCTTAAAAAATTGTATAATATTTGAAAGTGGTGTAAAAAAACTCTGAGTTGAAATAAAACAACAACAAGTAGTATAGGGGATGGGGGTTCCAGCGCAACGACCACCGGAGGATTACCCGTCTAAAGTACCCCCCTCGATTCGTACCGCGATTACCCGCATCCCGTGTTTATGTA